CTGAATTTATCTTTGTGTTGCTGTGTACTCAAAAATAAGCTCAGAAAGCATCTCATAGCCAAAAAGCCTCACTATTTAACCTTAACTCTTTGTCTTTTTAACAAACTGATGTCACAGTTAGATCCTGGTTTGCATCTTCCTGTGTTGCGTGATAGTGCAATTCAGACAGTTCCTCTGTAGTAATTTGGTTCTTTGTGGTCATTTTACCTTCTAACTGAAATAATGTGTTTATAAATAAAAGTCATTAAGGACATGTGCCTTGGGAGGCAAATGAAAGCAAAAGAAAAAATGGATCTCTTGAGTTTTCCCTCGTGAGTGAAGTATTTAGTGTCTTTATTTCATACACTTTTTAGGGTCCACGTGGACTGTCAGAAACAGACAGTGGAGCCTGTGGAGATCTCATTTGGTGCTTTGAAAATGTTAGAGATGATCCCAAGGTCCCAGCTGTTGATCAGGATAACAGAGGTAGGAATGTTCTGCACCTGAAGGAGGTCATATCTAATAATTAGTGCCTAGATGGCTTAGCAGGCATTAATATCTGCCTCTGACCTCTTCTCTCTGGGCCCAGGGAAAGGACCCAGGGAATGGGCTGAAGTTGTGTCAGGGGAGGGTTAGGCTGGAGATTAGGAACTGGTTCTTCTTTCCCCAGAGGTGTTTGGCCACGGAACCAATACTTGGTTATTATTAACTGAGAAATAGGATTAATTAATGGTAGTACATGATAATTCAGAAAGCTATTGCATGCATCAAAGTTTATTAGGGCAAAAGTGTATGTATATATAAATATTTCTCAACTCTGAAGCTGAGAATTCTTAAGTCTTGTGTTCATTATCATTTTCTCAAGATGAGTAATAGCAATATGTGTGCTGCTGGAATGGAAATAATAATAAGAGAATTCAAACCACTGAACTAGGGGAAAATACAGCATGAAGTATTGAAGCAGCTCTCGATTGTAGTTACATGTTCTGCAAGTGTCGGAAAGAATATTTCCCTCCTTTTATTCAGCTAAGTCTCTTGGATAAAAAATATTCAAGAATTTGGTCAGACACATTGCAATAGTTATCTATCCTACTTCTGGTTTAATGTGTCAGCTTTTATGATTACAAAAAAAGATTGGTTTTATCATGAGCATTTGATAGATGAGCTGAAATGGTTATGTGAATAAGCCATTTGAGATGACTAATTTTATTAAATTTGATTTAGAATCATAGAACCATCAAGGTTGGAGGAGACCTCTAAGACCATCAGGACCAATCATTAACCTGTCACTGCTGGAACCCCTAAACCCTAAACCAGATCCTCCAGTGCCACATCCAGACACCTCTGAAACACCTCCAGGGATGGTGACTCCACCACCTCCCTGGGCAATATCCCAGGGCCTCAACACCCTCACAGGGAAAACATTTCTGCTCACATCCAATCTGACTCTGCCCTGGCTCAGCTCAAGGCCATTCCCTCTATCCTCTCCCTGCAGCCCTGGCAGGAGTTGCAGAGAGCCAGGAGGTCACCTCTGAGCCTCTTCTCCAGGCTGACCAAGCCCAACTCCCTCAGCCCTTGCCCATGTGCTCTAGCCCTTTGCTGCCCTCGTTGCCCTTGGCTGGACTCGCTCCAGTGCCTCAATGGCCTTTGGGCAGTGAGTGCCCAAAGCTGAGCACAGCACTGAGCTGGGACCTCCCCAGTGCCCAGTCCAGGGGGATGACACTGCCCTAGTCCTGCTGCCACACTACTGATGATAAATGATGCATAGAAAATAAACATTTTCGAATAACATCTTATTGTGAGCCAGAAATGCTTCACTGCATTAATGCAATATATGAACTGTGTGTCAGGAATTGGAGTGTTTCCATGTATTTTGCTCAGCTGTGGTTTGTCTGTGATGGAAGTCTTTCATTGCCTAATTTTTATACTTTCAGATAGTAGAAGTTGGACATTTCTGGGGTTACAGGATAGATGAAAAAAACAGGATTGAACTGCAGGCTCTAACTTCCCAAATTAACTGTCAGAACCTGAGGGATTTATCAGTGATTCCACATCCAGATTTGCTTTGTTTGGCACCATTCACTGATCGGGGAAGCAGAGGATACTACAGAGCTCGTGTCATGTATGTTTGTGGAGATTCTGCTGAGGTAATCTGCTGTGTCATATTGAATTGGGAGGATGTAATTGGGTTAACAATCTTGGAGCTGTGCTTTGTTTTAAACACATCATTGTGTTCATGATTATTATCAACATTCCAGTTAAGAAATCTGTAGAATGAGAGCTCAAACAAAACCTTAGTAGGATGTTGCCAGAGTAGGTTAATTAGGTGGGGTTTTTTCCAGACCACAGGAGTTTTTAGTATTAAATTTAGTTTGATACAGTAAAGCATCTTGTGTGCTGAAGCAAAACAAAGACTAAAACCTCTAAGTCTGAAAACATGGTAAGGAATGCCTAGATCCAGTGCTGCATTCTCCAGGCTGAACAGCCCCAATTCCCTTAGCCTGTCCTCATAGGGGAGATGCTCCAGTTGGATTCCTCTTCCACCACAGTGTTTCTCCTCTGCATTCAAACTTATTTCACGTGGCAGATGCCACATTTGACTTTTCATAGCTTTTTCTGGCATGGACCACCTCTTGTCATCTTCTAATCTCTTCTCTTTCCTTGGTAATTTTCATATCATTAGAATTTATAAATAATCATGGAGTGTTCATAGCAGAAATTGTTAAAAATTCCAAGGGATATGATCTTTTACTTCATAACATTTGGTTTTTCCCTGGTTTTGGGTCTATTCAGTGTGTTTCAGGGTTTTTTTATCAGTGTTTAAGTTGCCAAGTTCTGTAGCATCAACAAATTATCAGAGTATTTCAGCTTTTTGTGCTGAGATCAGTAATGGAAATTAGTGCCACAGTTCAAGATTGGTATTCAACTTTTAGGCCAATTCTTTCCAGCAGTTCAAGGACAGATTATTTTTGTGGGATTGGCCTTTGCACAGCCCATTCCTCCTTTGCATTTCTTGTGTTTCCTACTGTCACCACCATAGAGTTAATACTGAACATTGTCCTCTGTTTCAAGTCATGGAAAGCTAGTGAATAATAGTGCTAATCTCATCACTTTCTCTTTGGAATTTGCAGTCACCAGGTACATGTTCACATGTGCTTATCCAAAAGCAGTGATTAGGTATTATCACTCCCTGTAAGGTTACACAGATTTCATTGTGGGAAGAGAATTTAGAGCCTTTCAGAGAAATTTGCCTTTCCTAGGTGTAGTGGATTATTTGCATTACAAGTGGCTGCTTAAGCCAAGGGATCAAATAATAGACATGATAAAATTCGGCCTATCATTTGTGACATGACTTCATTTGCATGTTTTCCAGACTTGGAATTTGCTTCCATTTCACTTGATGAGGTTGTGTTGTGCTGCAGTTATTAGACTCACATTGTGGAATCTTTGCAGACACTCTTGATTCTTTTTCCAGGTTTTTTTTGTGGATTATGGCAATCGATCAAAAGTGCCTATAAATGAATTAAAAGAGATTCCAAGCTGTCTTCAAGGGCTTCCTTTCCGGGTAGGGGCAATGTTGTTTGCTGCTGCTTACTGGGTATTGTCATATCTGGCCTGGCAAAGAGGAGTGTGGTTCAAATCACAGTGATTTTCAGAGTAATAATTCAATAATATGGATTTTGCTGATGTGAGAACCTACAAATCACCTTTACTAATAGGTGTTTTCCACAGTTGTGTGTGCACAGAGCAGGAATTCCTGTGTGTAACAGAATTGCATTGTATTTACTTGTAGAGAAATGTTGCCCAGCTTTTGTTTTCAGGGACACTTCTTAGGGGGAAGAAATAAAAAGCCTGAACTTGTTCTCTGACTGTATGTAAAAAACATAGTTGGTATTATTTTTTTAACTGAATATTGGAACCAGTCCTGTTTCTATGGGTATCTCCCTCTATACGTGGCACTGGTGAGGCACCTCAAGTGCTGTGTCCAGTTCTGGTCCCTCACTGCAAGAAGGACATGGAGGTGCTGGAGCATGTCCAGAGAAGGGCAGTGGAGCTGGTGAAGGGTCTAGGGGGTCTGTGAGGAGCAGCTGAGGGAGCTGAGGGTGTTCAGCTTGGAGAAAAGAAGACTCGGGAGACAAGACGATGTAGCCTCAAACTGCACCAAGGGAGGTTCAGGTTGGACATCAGGAGGAATTTCTTCACAGAAAGGATTGTTAAGCATTGGAATGGATTGCCCAGGGAGGTGGTGGAGTCACCATCTCTGGAGGTGTTCAAGAAATGACCAGACGTGGCACTTAGTGCCATAGTCTAGTTGACAAGGTGATGATTGGTCAGAGGTTGGACTCAGTGACCTCAGAGTTCTTTTCCAACATCATTGATTCTTCAATTCTGATGGATAGAATCATAGCCATCAGGGTTGGAGGACACCTTGAAGATCATCAAGTCTAACCATGAACCTGTCACTGCTGGAACCCCTAAACCCTAAACCAGATCCTCCAGTGTCAGATCCAGATGCCTCTTCAACACCTCCAGGGGTGGTGACTCCACCACCTCCCTGGGCAATATCCCAGTGCCTCAACACCCTCACAGGGAAAACATTTCTCCTCACATCCAATCTGACTCTGCCCTGGCTCAGCTCAAGGCCATTCCCTCTATCCTCTCCCTGCAGCCCTGGCAGGACACACATCCCACACCTCTCTCCAGCCCTGGCAGGAGTTGCAGAGAGCCAGGAGGTCACCCCTGAGCCTCTTCCCCAGGCTGACCAAGCCCAACTCCCTCAGCCCTTGCCCATGTGCTCTAGCCCTTTGCTGCCCTCGTTGCCCTTGGCTGGACTCGCTCCAGTGCCTCAATGGCCTTTGGGCAGTGAGGGTCTTGTAGTTTTATAGCAACACTAGGAACTAACATAAACCACTATAATGATTATAAAATAATTTATTGCTATTAATTCCAACAGTTTGTCTAGAAGATGAAATACTTTCCTGACAATTTTCTGCTCAATCAAGTGCTGTTTTTGATGGTTTTGCTCTAGGCTTTAGAGTTCAAGATCTGCAAGATGCGTCCGTCGGCCAAGTCTCTCGTGTGTGGGGAGCGCTGGAGTTACAGTGCCAGCCACAGATTTGCCTCCTTGGTCAGTGGCTGTGCTCTCCTGGTGCAGGTGTACTCCCTTGTGCATGATATCCTGCACGTGGACGTTCTCCGTTGCTCGCAACGCAATGTCCCGGAGAACGTTCGGGATGTGCTTATTGCGGAATGTCATGCTGAGCTAGCAGAAGAATCATATGAATCACAAGTATGTTCTGACTAAGCTGCTTCTGCTTATTCTAATTTCTTTCAGCTCAGGCTGTGTGAAGTCCTGAGAAGCTGAGCTGAGGCTTTGTTCATGGCATGGGAACAGGTTAATACTCAAGTGGGACAAGGGGTTTTGATGTGTGTGTGTAAAGCATTGAGCTGTTGGCCAAAAGCATTGATGCCCTGAGACTCCTTTTCAAAGAGATGCTTCCCAGGAAATTATTTCATCCATTGAACTGCTCCACTGTTAGGTGGAACTTTGAAAAGCTGTAACTGTCTCATAATTTGAACTGTCTTTTTAGGTTTTCTGTAATCTGAAAGGGCATCAGAACATTGGTTTTATGTATTGCTGTGTGAGTTTTTCTGTATGGGTATGTGAGTATTTCTTTGTGTAGGGTCTTCCTTGTGATATTTTTGAAGACAAAACTGTTAAAGGGTTTTAACACTGTTCCATTATTGTGTAGCAAAGCCATGATTTGCTCGAGGGAGTATTTTTGAAGAAAGTAAAGAAAGAAGAGCAAGTGCCTGTACCTTCAAGACAGGAAGAAAAGCATCTCATTCAAAGGCTGTTGGACTCTTTTTCTGACAATAAATCTGATGCACCAACCCATAAGGTAATTTCAGTGGTGGTTTTGGCCCTGCTTCTCCCATTGTTAGAATGGAGATGAGGACTGAAAGTACCTCAAGTAACCAAGCCGTATTTGGTGCCTTTCATACTGCATTCTGCTCTCTATTGGTAGAAAGCATCAATGTGGCCATGATTTCAGACTGCTCTGCTGCAGCTTGTAACAGATTTTTTGCAGTATAGCCTAAGAGCTAAGTGAACCAGCTCTTAGAAACATAGAATCATCAAGGTTGGAAGGGATTTCTAAGCTCATCAAGTCCAGCTGTTCACCTGACACTATCACTGTGACCCCTAAACAGTGTCCTCCAGTGCCACATCCAGATGCCTCTCAAACACTTCCAGTGATGGTGACTCCACCATCTCCCTGGGCAGTATCCCTGGGCATGAACACTCTCACAGGGGAAAAACATTTTCTAACATCTACTCTGAATTTCTAGTACTTCATTATGTTTATTTAAGAGTGAAGTTCTCTGCTGTTGCCACATGTGATAAACTCTTCCCCAACAGCCTTTTTGTGGTCATATTGTGGTGTTTCAGTAGGGAGGAAAGGGGTTGACTCCTCTAGCACATTCTGAGGCAGCACTTTGAACCATTGCAGGGCAGAGATAACACTGGGAGACTGAACACAGTATTTCCATACATGGGAGTCTTCAGTCTGTGAGCTGCAGCAAAAAGCAAAGTTACAACCCTATTAATTCTGCAGAAAATGTAAACATGGTTTTTACTGTACACAGTGTTGGGTTCTTCCTCAGCTGGGGAGAGGGAAGCAGCTGGGATGGGTGATGCAGTGAACGCTCCAGTAACTGACAGGAGTAATGAAACACTGGATGCTTTTCCTCTGCCAGTTCCAAACTCAGAAGTCATTCTTACTTACGTGTTTTGAGATACCAAGTCACTACTACACTGGAATATAAAGCATGAAAATGTGTGTCTTCTTCTGCATTTTGTTTGCAACTGTTAGGCCTTATCTGCATTCTAATCCTTGTCCCTTTTCAGGCCTGACAAAATTTCAGGCCTTCAAGCACCTGATCGTGCTCTGTTTACCCACAGGAGTAATCCTGTTTAACTACTCACTTTCATAAGCTGAGATGTTTTCAGATTAAAGACCTGCCTCAGGTAAACAGAAATGACCTTGTTTTGTTAAGTGATCTATGCAGTCTGAACTTGTATTTTTTATACCAGAGGAAAGTCATGAATCTTCAGCAGCTGTGAAAATACATTGATTTTCCTTAGGTGCCTCAACAACCAAAGTTTGTTCTGGATGAGTGAGATGAAGAAAGCTGTTGATCAATCTATCAACTCAGTGTTGCTCAGTACCTGCTGAAATGTGTTTTGGTTTTCACTTGGGTCTTGATTTGGAGAGATCCAGGTGCTGGCTGACATTTCTGTCATTTGTTTTTTCCCTTTTTTTCTGAAGGTAACACTTTATGGCCCATACAGTCCTTATGAGCTGAAATGCTATGGTGTTACTAGAGCATCCCAGTTCAGGTATGGGAAGACTTTTGCTGTGAGGTATAATCATTTTCTTAGCTGTTACTGTCAATAAATAGGCAAAACCATCCTAGTTAGAGATTTTTACTATACTAGTCAGGCCTGATTTGCATTAACTATACACACTATCACTAATTAAAACCTTAAGCATAGTTTTATTCAGAGTGTTTTAATGTCCTGCAGAAGGTTATTTATTAACCATGTAGATCTGCTAAGTGACATCCAGGTAACTTGAACAGTCAGGAACTGCTAGTTGAAATTAGTATTGTGAATTTAGAATCTTTCTTTGTATAGGTTTTGTTTTTTTTTAATGTTGGAAATATTTCTTACTTCTTCCCCAGGAATGCTTTCATACAGAAGGACAGCATCAACTCCATTGGTGTCCATGATCCTGCAGAGGGTGCCTTGGAGCAGTTGTTGGTCGCTGCTTTTTTGTCAGTAAATGCAAATGGTAATGCCTAGTAAAATGGTTTGGGTGGTTTCTATAGACTTTGGGTTTATGTGCCTAGCTCTGTGAGTAAATATGTCACTGTAGTTCTGTTTCATCTTTCTGAGGTTTCATTTTCAGTAGATACTCCTTAGGCTTATATTAGTGTTTCTTTTCTTTTGGTGACAGGATCTACTGTGATCTTAGGGGAAACATCTTTGATGCCTCCTATTCCTGGCCTGCTTGCAGTCTTCTCTATGCTGTTTGCTCCTGCTATACAGCTCAGGTATTTGGGCAGTTTCAAAACTGGTGGTTCTTTTATTGTATTTTTTATTTTTTGTTTAGAACCTTCAGGAATTTGTGACAGATTTTTTTTGCTTTGCTTTCAGCATTTTGTATATTCTCTGCATGGTGTTTTGGAGCTCTAGTATAGTTTGTAGGCAAAATAACTTGTTCATGTGCTTATGAATTGGTGCTGCATGATCAGGCAGTAGAGTTCTTGATAGTTATAGAATCATAGAATCATCAGGGTTGGAGGAGACCTCTAAGATCATCCAGTCCAACCATTAACCTGTCACTGCTGGAACCCCTAAACCCTAAACCAGGTCCTCCAGTGCCAGATCCAGACACCTCTGAAACACCTCCAAGGATGGTGACTCCACCACCTCCCTGGGCAATATCCCAGGGCCTCAACACCCTCACAGGGAAAACATTTCTGCTCACATCCAATCTGACTCTGCCCTGGCTCAGCTCAAGGCCATTCCCTCTATCCTCTCCCTGCAGCCCTGGCAGGACACACATCCCACACCTCTCTCCAGCCCTGGCAGGGAGTTGTAGAGAGCCATGAGGTCACCCCTGAGCCTCTTCTCCAGGCTGACCAAGCCCAACTCCCTCAGCCCTTCCTCATCAGACATGTTTTCTAGGCATTAGACAAATCCATTCAAGTCTGCCTTCATGTGAGCTTAGTTTCTGTATCTCGAGGTGAGACTCTTTGTTTTTCACATAGGGTTGCTGAAAGTGGACAACATTTTACTGGTGTTCTGTGTGGTTTGGGTTGGAATCAGACTGCCAGGGCTCCCCTACTTCCAGAAAATGACATGGAGCTGACATTTGATGTGCATTTTGGAGTGGAAGACGTAAAGGAGGTAAAACATGCATGAGGATTTTCACTACAGTAGGAACTAAGTAGAAATTAATGCATCAGAGCTTGTTAACTCAGAGTTAATAGAAAAACTCATTTGGGCCTGTGGTTTTTGGATGTTTTTGGCTTTGTTTGTTTGTTGGGGTTTTTGGCTTTGTTTGTTTGTTTGGGATTTTTAATGTGCTACTTGTTGATAACCCTGGAATCAGGAACCAAGTTACTCCTTACCTACACTCTGACCAAATGAAACATTCTAGAAAGTTATATAGTTGTCAAAACAAAAGCATCAATTTTGCACTAACCAGACATAAATACTTGTTAGTTATGTTCTTAGGTTTGTTGCGGCTTTTTCTGACCAGCCTAGCACTGCTGCTCTGTAGGCTTCAGTTTGATTTTTACAGCTCTGATAAGTTATCTGTATTATCAGGCTACTTCTCTCAGAGAAGATCAGCCAAACAAACAACAAAGCCCTTGAGTTCCTCATTACAGCCTTTTGTGGCTCATAGAGTGAGATCTGTCAGAGGGAAGCACAAACTGTGCTGTGCAGGACAGTGGCTGTGCTTGACATATGCTTTAAATTCAGACTCAGTGCAGGACCTCACATGCCCTGGGGAGTTCTGTGCTTGGAGCAGGTGAGTGAGGTGGTGGCAGTGGTTTCTAGGGGTTGTCTCAGGACACAGTGGACATGCTGGTGCACATATCTCTGAGCTGTGGTTTCCTGAAAGCACTGGCTTGGTGTGATGAATATTCATGATGCCTCAGCCAGAATGGTAACACACATGGAAATTATGGACAGATAGAGAAAATTCTTAAAGCTTTTACAGAAGGAGATGTGTGTTGGAAAAAAAATCATAGAATCATAGAATTTTAGGGGTTGGAATGGACCTTAGAGTTCATCCAGTCCCTGCCCTGGGCAGGGACACCTCCCACCAGAGCAGGTTGCTCAAGGCTCATCCAACCTGGCTGTGAACACTGCCAGGGTTGGGGCAGCCACAGCCTCCCTGGGCAACCTGGGACAGTGTCTCACCACCAGAACAGGGAAAACTGCTGCCTCACATCTAACCTCAATTTCCCTCCTTCAATTTGTGCCCATTACCCCTTGTCCTGTCCCTGCAGCTCCTAACACAGATCCCTCTGCAGCTTCCCTGGAGCCCCTTCAGCTCCTGGAAGGTGCTCTGAAGTCTCCACACAACTTTCTCTTCTCCAGGCTCAACAGCCCCAACTCCCTCAGCCTGTCCTCACAGGGGAGATGCTCCAGGGCTCTTAGTAACTTTTCGGCCTCCTCTGGACTTGCTCCAACAGTTCCATGTCCTTCTTATATTGAGGCACCAGAACTGTGTGCAGTATTCCAGGTGGGTCTCAGCAGAGCAGAGGGGGAGAATTCCCTCCGTTGCCCTGCTGTCCTTTGGCTGCAGCCCAGGATTCAAATCTAAGTAAGTGGTAGCCTGTGTGTCTCATGGCACATCTGAGTAACCTTGAAGATTGTGCTGTCAAATGGCTGAATTGTTAGCATCCTTGACCAGCAGAGATGCAACTGAAGGAAGAAGTGTTTCTGAAGCTTCAGATGTTTTTGCTTAGGCAACCAACATTCCAGTTGAAGTTTTGGTGCTGTGGGTGCCCTGACCATCTTCATGTCAGGGTAATACAATACAGAACTGGTTTAGAGTAATGTTATGTCATTGGTGTCTTACAGATAAACATCCTGAGGACAGCCATTAATAAGCTGCTCTGTGAAGGTGCAGTGTGTTGTGGACAAGAGCAAATGACACATCTGCAGGAAAACCTTCGTCAGAAGCTTCTGTGGTAATAACTTTGTAGAATTAAGATCATCTGTTTCACAGTCTCAGCACAAACAAGATGAATGGTTGCTTGAAGCATAGCTCAGATACGGCTTTGGGAAAATAATGTATGTTCTCATTTCTTGATGCATTTCACTTGCTCTGTTTATTTATAAAGCAGTATACTAAGCAACCTGAGAGCTCCTGTGGAAGCACTGGTTCTCCAGGGAAGCCTGATCACTTCAGAGTCGTAAAACCTAGACTGTAAAACCTGTTCTGCAGGGACACCAGTTCTCATGAATCTGCTTTTTGCACCCAGGACAAAGCTTCTAAAGTCCTGTGGCAAAAAGATGGAGAATTATTTCTCTGTACAGTTGGAATGATGTGTGCTGCCCTTGCTCCCTCAACAGACCTGTGCAGGGTAGGTGTTGGCCAAGCTAACTGCTGCAAGTCTCAGGCTAATTCAGGAACTGAAGTAAGGCCACCTGCCTTGTTTCTCCCAGCAGACTTTCCTGCTTCCTGTAACTGCAGCAGTGGCTCTGGAAAGAACACTGTGAGTCAGTGCAGCCAGCCCTGAGCACTTTTTCAGCTTGCAGTGTGTGGGAAGTGTTTGGGGGAAGGAGCTCAGGGAATTATCCCTGTAGGAGCTCCTTCTAATGTCTGCCTCTGCTGAGCCTGCTGGGAGAAGTCTCCTGTTTGTAAACACAGTGTGCCTTTTCAGAGAATCATAGAATCAACCAAGTCAGAAGAGACCTGAAAGATCATCGAGTACAACCCTACTGTGGTTACTAGACCATGGCACCAAGTGCCACATCCAGTCACTTTTCGTGCTGTCTGTAGCATCAGGAGTGTTTCTCATCTTTACCTGGCTCTGTACTGAGCATGTTTTAAACAGAGCTTGGGTGCAGACATGGATTAAGAGTTATGGACTCTAATTAATCAGCCTCACCGCTAGGTAATATGACCTTTTTTTGCCAGTAGAGCATTTCTAAAGTAGCTGTGTGGTGCCAGAGTGAGGCAGTTCCTCGTGCTGATAAAGATCTGAAGCATTCAAGCTTAGCTGTCCTTACCCAGGGTTATCACAGTCATTATCAGAGCAGCTCTTTATGCTGATTTCTCAGGTGTTTCTTGTTTTTGCATGTACCCAGTCAGTTTTCCTTCCTGTCTGTGAGCAAAACTATGACATTGCACCCAGACATCATCTATCCAAAACTCAAAAGGAAATTCAGTGTGGTGCATTTGAGACTAAATTAACAAGCGCAGGGTCAGCCTTACCTTTTGAGGCACTGGAAATGAAATTCAGAGAGCATAACCTGCAGGCAGAAGCTGTGAAGATACGTATGATGTGTTGGCTGAGCAGCAGACACTGAGCAGCAGTGGCAGGTGAATGGGTGGACTGGGTGATTTTAGAGGTGTCCTCCAGCCTGGATGGATCTGTGGTTCTCTGACACCTGCACAGCTACTTGGCACACACTGATGTGTTCCCCAGCATGGTCAGCACTGACTGCCTGACTCAGTCATTCTCATCAGCCTTCCTGGCTTGTTTGCCTTTGGGATTTTATGCCTGGCAGCCTTTCCTCTCATGGAATAATTTTGTGCTTTTTCTAGTTCTCTTTACAGTAAAGTTTTTTCCTGTTCTGGTGGTGAGACACTGTCCCAGGTTGCCCAGGGAGGCTGTGGCTGCCCCAACCCTGGCAGTGTTCACAGCCAGGTTGGCTGAGCCTTGAGCAACCTGCTCTGGTGGGAGGTGTCCCTGCCCAGGGCAGGAGTTGGCACTAGATGCTCTCTAAGCTCCATTCCAACCCTTTAAATTCTATGATTGCTCCAATGACCCTACAGCTATTTTTATTTCTATTTTGACTTTATATATTAACATTTGAAGGAATAAACAGTTTGATTATTGTCATTATTTCTTCTTTTCCCCTGTGTGAAATCTTTCTTGGGTTTGAATATTTTTTTTAATCATACTTTTTATGTATTGGAAAAACCCCGTTTATTCATTAGACCACCTAGGTAAAAATTAAGCCTGAACAGCCTCTCATAACTTTTTTCCTCCCATTATTTCTTTTCTAATTGTATTTACAACATGTCACCACTACTTAAGACTAAAATCAGTGTTTGAAAAACACATCTAGACAGAATTAATTAATGTCTGCTACTGTTGGACTTTGCACAGCTTGAGGAAATAAGTGGAGCAGACAGACAATCTATAGTAATTGAGTTGTCATGCAAAACAAAATACCCTAAAAATAGCTGGATTATACATTCTAGTGAATAAGCATAAATAAAACTTAGGGAGGGAATTGTGGCTGCAAATTCTGGTGCTTTGTAATAGAAAAAAGTAATTTCTTTTAGAAGAAAATACATTCTGATGCCCTTAATGTCCCTGTGTAAATTGGTATTTTGACTCATTACACGAGTACACAAAGTACAGAGAAGTGAACAAATAGGATTAGACTAACAAGGAAATTTAAGATTCCCTTCAGCACAGACACTTGGTAAATACCTAGTTGTGCCTAGTATAAAAATTCCTTTGTCTTTATAATTAATCACATACAAGTGTATTTCTTAAGGCAATTTTTTATGTCCTTTCAGTTTAATCTGCAGAGCAAAGCCTCGAGATGTGATTGCTCCTACCTATTACAAGGAGCCATATGCATGGAGACAGGTAAGGGTGTAAAGGTTTGGGGTTTCACTGGGGTTTTATTGCCTGGAGGAGTTGGAGTACCCCAGTACACTTAACTAAGAGTGGTCAAAGGGAGAATTTCCTTGGGAAGGATGTCCTCTTGGAGTCTTGAGTTGGAAAATAGTGAAAGCACCAGAGAGTCAAATTTTGGCATAAGAACCTATATATAATTCACCTGGAACATTGTGAGTGGTTTGGGCACCACAGTGTAAGAAAGATATTAAGTTATTTGAGAGTGTCCAAAGGAGGCAATGAAGGTGGTGAAGGGCCTTGAGGGGAAGCCACATGAGGAGTGGCTGAGGCACTTGGTCTGTTCAGCCTGGAGAAGAGGAGACTGAGCACAGAGCTCATGGCTGGATACAACTTCCTCAGGGAAGGAAGTGCAGGGACAGCTCTGACCTCTTCTCTCTGGGACCAGGGACAGGACCCAGGGAATGGGCTGAAGTTGTGTCAGGGGAGGGTTAGGCTGGAGATTAGCAACTGGTTCTTCTTCCCCCAGAGGTGTTTGGGCACTGAACAGCTCCCCAGGGCAGTGTCACAGCCCCAAAGCTGCCAGAGCTCCAGAGGTGTTTGGCCAATGCTCTCAGGCACAGGGTGTGATTGTCAGGGATGTCTGTGCAGGGCAGGAGTTGGACTGGATGATCCTCAAGGGTTTCTTCCAGCTCTGATTAGTCTTGGAACTTTTGTGTATTTATCAATCTCTATTGATATCTTGGGTTTTAGACTCTTTATTTGTTGGGCAGCTTTGTTTTCGCTTTTCTGCATAGAAATACTTAGTCTCTTCAAACAGAACTCTCCATAAGTTTTAAGCTGAGAGAGATGGCAAAGGCAACTTTACATTTGTTGGAAGTTAAAATTTTGCATTCTTGCTACAAAGCAGCAATAGCTACATTTTCCTTGTTGAGGACCTATCTGGGTGCAGAGCATTTTAACTTTGGTTTGGGTTGCTGTGCTTTCAGATGGCCTTTCCTTTCTAGGAAGACAGAAATGTGGCACGATTCAGAACAAATATGGAAGTGTTTGAGTGTCTTAACAGCCCTGGAAGGGTTTAAGATGCATCTGGATGTGGCACTGGAGGATCTGGTTTAGGGATTGCAGCAGTGGCAGTTTAATGGTTGGACTCTGATCTTAGAGATCTCCTCCAACCTCGATGGTTCTGTGATTACTAAGAATGCATTCTGACTTTCATCTTGCTTCCTTTGATTAGGTGCATTCTCAGCATTTTACTGATGAGTCTAAAAAGCAGCATGAGAGAGAAAATGTTCTTCATCAGTTCCAGAAGCTTGTTCTGTCAAGTGATTAACTCTTTCCAGAAGTCTTCCAGAGGTATCAGAACTAGACTGAAAATGACTTTTGTCTTGGATGCAAGTTTTTCAGGACTGTTCTTGAATGTTAGTGTAAGTTAACAGTTTGGAGTGTGGTTCTGTGGCTTTCAAAGGGCTAAGGTTTACTGGCCTAGAGCAGACAAGTTTATTCCTGAAACCAAGTGTTGTAAAGCAGGATGCAATTTTCATTTGAATGGTACTTCTGAGCAGGTGTGTCTCAAGGTACATGAAAGATGCAGCAAATCTAGGTTTAGTTATTTGTTTTCTGTGTAAAAACTCATAAGTCATGACTTGGTTTTGCCTTTAACTATAAGTTGCATTTTCCTGTTTTCTGACATGAGTTTTTAAAGAAAACATGTAACAAAGGTGTTGGGAGTTTTCCTTCACCAAACACTAGAAGTCAGAGGAAACTGATGATCTAGGTTGTGTTCTCACTCAAACTGTATGTTCATATACTGGGTGCAGTTTGTTCATTAATTTTGCATCCGTGGTTTATTTCCATGTGTGGCAGAAGAATGCTGTTAATTCCTGATTCATGGCACCTTGTCTCCTCCTTTGCTCTTTCTTTTTACCTGCCAGATCCTTAGGCCTAAAAACGAGGTCAGTGGTTTAAGAATAAAATGCAGAAGTGAAATAAGATGTTTTTGTCTCTTCTGTTGTGCAGTCATGCTTAATAAAAGCTAAATCTAGTTAATAATGGTATGTGATTGCATTCATGAAATACATGAATACAAAAACAGTGGATGGAAAAGTCTTCACCCTTCACTCAGTGTTCTGAAGGTCATGGAATATCCAGTCATGCTCTGAGGGACCCAGGGAGTCAGTGGTCACCATAAAGAAGTGGCAGGTGTGGTGAATATAAGGGAATGCTTAAGCTAAAGAAAGGAACTGTATATAATTGAGATGTAACTCTGTTTAAGCTGTGCTTAAACTGAGAGGGGACTACAGAACAGGCAATTTCAGTGGTTTATTAGAGCTTTACTTCCTCAGACCCATTTTACTGATGCCTGGGAATTACAAACATCATACTTCACACAATGTGAGAGAGCTTGAACAGAAAAACTACATCTCAAATGGCTTCAACAAGAGGATTTCCCAGCACATTTCCCAGCTTAATGTGCCAATTAAGTGTTGTGGTTAAACACCTCCGGGGGCAAGTGAGACAGGTAGGGTTTAATATCTTTGCTTTGTCTCTTAACGATGGGAATTTCCTTAGGAAAAGGCAACTTGGCAATACAGAAAATTCATGATATGAAGATTGTAACCTGTTCCAGAATTTGAATGCTTTCCCTCTCTTTGTGCTGTGTGTAGATCTGTCCCTGAGCCTGTGCTGCCACCAGGTGGGAGCTGCTGCTCTCTGGCCTGTGCCTCACTAAGGGCTCCTGTCTCACAGCTGAAAGGTGCACACTCCTGTCCTTAGGGTAAAAGCAGTGGATAATGCCAACTCCTTCCCCAACCCAGTGCAGTAACCCATGACCTGCCCTTGATCTGTTGAGAAATGTGAACTGTGTGTGGACAGATCTTAAGAGCTCCCAGTTCTGTCCAGGTGCTTGCAGATATGTCACATGACAGGTTATCCTTGAAGGAAATAGAATATATTTCATGTCAGCCTTGCTCACAGATGTTAGAATCATAGAACCATCAAGGCTGGAGGTGACCTCCAAGATCATTACGTTT